ATGTTGCCGTTCATGTGGTTCACCCTAAATCCATAGCCTATCAGTTGACGCTTCACCGTAAGTCTTCATGATTGTTGTCATTGTACTGCACAGGCGTATCAAATCCAAATTTCCAAGGATTTTCAATCTTCGATTTTCATATTGCTTGGCAGCCGCTTGGCACTGCACGCATATGCCCCACCCTTTGCGGGCCACATGGGACAGCGCGGTACTTATGCCTCCCACGCCCTTTTGATCGAAATTTCATTATTACACCGCTAAATAGCTTTGACGCGCTCACTTACCATTACTGAAATAATTTTGTGCCATTCATGTTGGCGTAATCTTCGTTCATAGTCCACAAAAGTAGATGATGCGGCCAGCAAAATCGCGGCTGAGAAAACCGAACCCTCGTTGTGGTGAACCTCCCTGACGGGCTTTTGTGTTACCTAAATTCCATTCCTATGCAACAAGCACTGTACCAGGTTTTGTTTTAATAGTTCAGGAGAAAAAAATGATATGTAGGTGTGAGACATTTTCGATCGAATCAAAACAATCGGCTCTCAAAAAAATTTAAAAAGTTCACGCACTTCCTTGAAATTACAGGTTCAAATTTAGGTGAGCCAATGTGCTACATATACGTTTTTATGCTGCACTTCATCCCCTGTTTGAGCGTCGGGATACTCGTATGTGTGTCCATAGAAAAGTACCTGGGTGAGTTAAAGTTAAATTAGTATAACAAATACATCCGTCACTCAGAGCAATTCTTTCGCTCGAAAGGAACGGTTCCTGGATTTACTGTGAACTAAAAAAAAATTCTGCGCATTTGTGGAACTTGACCATTGCGTTATGCATGATGGGAATGACACCGTGAGACATCAAAGTTGGGTGTTTGGAATTTTTGGCGTTCCCTGTTAGACGAGGCACATATGTTTCTACCCCTTTTTTAGTTTATGAGGAGTCACCACTTCGTGGGAAATTATCACTGAACGCTTCCGTTTTTGAACCTCAGATTACGCAGCCCTCTCAGTTCAATCCATTTGATAACTAATCCATATTCCAGTTTCGATGCACCCCGTTTCTCAGACCAGGACTCAACAAATTCTTCGTCGTCGCATTCGCTTTGTAATGACGTTGGTCACTTGGGCCCTGAGCATTGCCTCCAACATACCGTACGCGGTGAACACTCGCCTCTATCGATTCAGTGATACAGCGGCTGCTTGTGGGCGTACAGACACGTGAGTGCTATTTCAACCGGGTTCAGCTGTTCGTTGTGCCAAATTCGACGAGCGGGGGGTGGGAGGGGAGGGGGAGAGGTGAGGAAAGATTCAAACCCAGAGAACAGTGATCAGTACTGTAAAACGCTTCACTCCAGTTATCGTGAGTGTCGGTGTCGTAGCTTTTGCTTTCATAAAATGAAAAGCGACGATTGCTAATAATTTTGGCGACCGTTGGTCCGCACCTCAGGCTTTCCAGCCTGGTCCTGGCGTAGGAACGGTTTTCATTTCAGAAATTTTCAGACGGAATAAGCTTATGGTATGAAGCATTGATTGATTCATCGTCGGTTCTCCACGAATCTACAAAAAAAAATCTGAAAACGTCTAAGATCTAAAAACAATTGTGGGGAAAGATTTGACCACTGGAAGTGGATAACTCGCATTCCTCACGGCTTAGATCGAAAAATTTTATCAAGAAAGGAGCACAAGGAAATGACTTTTGAACGAATGGATTTTCAAAGCAGATACAGCACATTTATAAAAGCTGTAATCTAGTGTTTGGTTCAATCCTCTGGGGGATAGGTTAAGCTTAAAGGTGATCCCCAAAGGAATCCCTTACATAGTGAAAAAAGCGTTGGGATCTCACACGTGCATGGAAAAACACAATGAGACATTTCCAAGAATTTGAACATCCACGACAGTTTTCGCATACTTTGAAAAACAAAATGTTTCTTTTACGCTTTTAGCGTCACACTCGACACAATTGCGACTTCTTGAAAAGAAGCGCGCATTTGCTCGATGATTTACTTTTCACTCTATGAGGAGAGGTTCCGTAATTCGAGAAAGATTTGGTGGTTTTTGGAAAAAATACCTTCTGCAACTTCGAAAATATCTGCACTGTTGGAGAATGTTTATTGTGAAGGACTTCACGTCCGCTCGAAGAGAATGAATTTTGCACATTTTTTCTCTCTTATGAGAAAGAGATTGTGCACTCCAACGCAAATGCACGATGCCGCGGAGCATGGCTAACGGGACCATCTCTACTGAACGGGAGTAGTCTTAACATTTAGAATCGACACAGCGTTCGGTTGAACATGATTCCAACACTGCACTGGTAAGCGCTGTCTCCTCATTGACACATATTCCAATTTCAGCTTACGAGTCTGGGTTACGATATCGTTCGTGCTTTGGTACATTTTGCCGTTGGCGGTATTGGCTATGATGTACACCAACATTGGCATGATGTTATGGCGAAGTGGCAGCTGTATGATCACCGTCACGAGGCCGAGCAGTGGTTCGTTCCGATCAATATACTGATTTTTGAAGTTTTTCAAGAAATATTCACAAAACCTGGTAGTGCTCATGAAGTATCCCCAGCCTTGAATCCGGCGAAACTCCGGATATTAATCCAGTTAAGGAAGGGATGACGTAAAATACCCAATGGAGCAACTTTAAGCTAGTCTTTGTAAAATTCGCTCGCCGATGTGCAAGTGGTTTCAAGCCCTGAACAATTAAGTTATTCTCTGCTATGGCCTACCAGAGGGCAGCAACTTGAACATGCACAATCTTGAACGCTATATGCTCAATTAGGCGTGATGGTAAATGGCACTGTTTATCTAGGCGTACGGCTCTGGGCAAGTCCTGAATCGGATCGCCCGTTCTACCAAGCCTTCCATCCTCGGTTAAGTCACACTTGTCTGGGAAGATGACAGCACTAATAAGTACATCCCCCGCCGCCATTACGCCATTATATCATTCCTAGTACTATATAGCCCAAACGCATTCGTGCTTACGATGTCGGAAGGACTTGCTACACGGGCGTATCATAAAAGCGTTTACCGACGCAAGCATGTTTTCATACTCTTTTGTCAAGGTGCCCGTAAACTCCGCGTTCCTTTTTTTTCGCGCTCACAATATTCCTTTCCTTTGTTTCGATACCCTCAATTGTAGTGTTTTTTCTTCTTACTCACCCGAAAACTTGGTCAAATCTCCTTCTTCTCCGTAGCCTAAGGCTATCGTGCAGTCGCAAAGCCTGCAGCTGTTATGTCGTCGATTTGCCCATTCGTAGGCATCTCCTGCCGTGACCCTGACTTCATTGAAATTCTGCTTGATGGCGTCAACTGGCCAATTCTTCAGAAGAGTGTAGGGGATGTTCTTTACAAGCTCGATTTCCGTTTGCCTCCCTCCACTGTCGTTGTTTGCCTTCCAGAATTCTCATCTCGTGGAAATCGTGCCGCAGAATCGCCAGACCATGGGCTGAATAGCCAAATCGCTCCGCTGATGCTCATTTCCTTACCCCAGTACGTGCACCCTTTCTAAGAGCCTCTTCTATGGGTGACCTTTCAGAAGCCTGCGATTGTAAACTAGTCGCTTTCGGTAACTCACCTGACGGCATTGAGGCTGAAATATAATAATTTCGTTCTTCCAATTCAGAGCTTCCAATAGAGACCTTTGCCAAGAAAACGTTCTTCATACCACCCTCACAGCCATTATTCGATCGTTGTTCCTGTAAGTCATAGTCTTGGCGACTCCGTGACTCCTATTGCAACTCCATTCTCGATGCTCTCGTCTCCATTATAGTACTGTACGGAGTTATCCCCAATTTTAGCCTTTGCTTCTTTCCATATGTTCCTGGAGGAATAGACTGAACTGTTCCTATATGTCACCCGGATTGCCGGATTCAGTGCTCCCCCAAGGGATTGTGGGACGGAAATCCCTTTAAATTTCCTCTGTTGTCCAACTGGACTAATCGTCCTTGATACAAGGGCGTACATTAAATGTATGTATGTAAGTCAAAGTAGGCATGCACTGAAAATAAAGAAACTATATAGTTAAAAACTAATAAATTCAAAGGGATTTCCGTCCCTCAACCCCTTGGGAAGGATTGTATCCGGCCTCTGATCACACAACTCTTTCAGGTCTTCCTAATTAGGCCCAACTCGAAGTATCCTTCTTTTGAACACGATATTTTAACCACTTGTGTAACTGACAAAGGCAACTGGGTCACGGTGTCTTTCATTCAACCGTTGTCAAGCTGTCGCTGACCCAACTACTAAATGCCATTTTAGGTTTATCGTAGCCAGGGGTTTAGTGGTCACGAGAGGGATCAAACCTGTAATTGCTTTGACGGTAGCCAGACCTAAGCTTTCGCTATTAACCTATGGGTCATTTTCGTTTTGATAACCCTCCTTTGACAGAATGCTCTAAAATGCTCCTAAAGCCTTCTTCTTTGCTTCTTGATTCGACTATTGGTTCGTGAAAGTACTTATTACTTGCCTGCCATGCTTGAACGCATAAACATCAACAAAGATTTGATGTTGCTGCGTTCTGTGTAATTGACTGTGACAACTAGTAACAACTATTCATTTGATTACGTGTGTTTAGATTCACAAAACAGCGCTCACCTGGGAGCCACCTGGCAGATGTCGAATGATCGCCACTGTCGTTTACAAACTAGGAACTCCACTATACTAGGTGCCCGACGACCACAAGTGAAAGACACGGCAGCGAGATCTGACCGAGAGCCGTAGAAAGGTGCAGTACAGACCACCTGCACTGCGCTACATTGACAGCGCCACTCCTGCATGGGTTCGTTGTCGTGTCGTCTTCACACCATGCATGATCTATCCTTTGCTAATATTATTGATTAACACTTTTATTTGTAACCACTAAACAACGACGTTCCCTTTTGAATGAGGCTTTTTTAGCACGTACATTTCATTTGTTTGAGGAGGGGTAGGTAGATGGAGGGGTGAAGGAAAGTGAGCTAGCAGGTTGGAGTAGAATTTTGTGAAGGCACAAGGATCCCCTTTTGAAATCCGTTAGAAAAAGAGAAATAGTTCAGTAAAACTGGGAAGGTCAGTTCTCCGTCTGCTTACATGAAGTGGAAACCTCAATCGACTGTATCTTCTTCGTTTGAGAGCTGCTGGAGAGTTCCTACAGTCCTGTGGTCTCGTAGAGCTTCTACTGCAACAAATTCTTAATTCAAATCCTGTTTATTGCTTCTTGATCAAGCACCTCTGATTTCGCTTTTATTGCCTCAACAGAACTACTCACAACAAGTACTATGTTTGGTTCCTTAAAGGCACACTCCACGATTGCCTGAGTGTGAGTGGCTGCGCTCAAAGCTGAAACAAGATGAGTAGTTTGATCGACTAGTTAGGAAGAGAGTGTACGGAAATGCCAAGATCCAATAAAAGTGCACCTCGCACCTCAACGGAGGGAGACTGACTTGCACCAGAGTCTTCTTAACAACGGGCTGACGAATAAAATTAGGGAAGTTGAGAAAAACGTAGTGATTTCACCAAGAAGCCCCTTGAGGTCATGATTACCAGGAAAGGTTCTACAGGCGTGACAAGCTTTTTTGAAACGTTTTGGCATGATATATGGCAGAGGCTGAACCAAATACATTATACGAAGTCTTATACGAGCCCCTAGTTCGATTCCTCGTGGTAACAAATTTTTGCATTTCGAGTTGACGTGCCAAAATTCGCGCAAAATGGAGTTAGAACCAACCAGAACAATCAGAACTCCATTTTGCGCGAATTTTGGAACGTCAACTCGAAATGCAAAAATTTGTCACCAAGAGGAATCGAACTAGGGACCCCCTTTTCTGGTATTCAGAGGGCCGTTCAGGAAAAATTAAACATGGTTCTGTGGTCCCCGCATCTGCCCTATATCATGCAAAAGACCGTTTTCAAAAAGCTCGTCACGCCCTGAAAGACCTTCCTGGTTAGATTTTTCAATAGAGTTCTTTGCATTATATAGGGTCATGTGCAGGCAACATGAAAGTAGCTTCTTTTTCCCCTGCGCGGCCCTCTGAAGCAAAAAAGTTACGAAATGTTTCGGATTGGTTCGATGCGGTCGTATAACAAGTTTCGCGTAAAGAACTGACGCTTGCGTGATGTTCCATCAATAATTGCCCGGCGGCAAGTGGTGAATTCAGGACAGTCAATGACCCATATGACGAAGAGTTTTTGCCCATACCTGTTCAAATAGGGTGGTTTCCTTTTGCTCCTGACCATTTCTGGCATTCAAGAGGGCCGCAGGATTATAAAGCGGTTTTTTTATGCATGTGCTCTTACATCATGCCAGAAGCGTTTCAATAGCTAACTTAAAGGAAGAATTTACGACTGAATGGGTGCGTACACGGAAGCCTATGCGCCTCAAGAAAGAATAGGTACTTGGCTGCCAAGGAAGCGAGGTGTGACTCCTTTGCACACAAAAAGTGCGCTGGTTGACGTGCAGGACTTGGAGAGCACTTATACCCAAACGCGAGCCCCCACTGGTTCAGTTGTTGATTTGAACCAGTTTTGTTGTCATTAGCGGCACAACTGGGCAATGACTGGAGCATAGATTGGTGTGATGCCGCAAAGTTGCGGTGAACTAGTTCATCCATACGTCTGTCGTCTTAACCGGTGCCCGTTCTTAAGAGAAGGTGAACGGCGAACAAGAGGGTTTCCTTCTCGGGTTTTCTAGACGGATTTCTCCGCGTCTTTCTTAATGGCGTTCCATTGAGCACCTCACCTGTAGACTCCTCATAGAACACCGTAATGCGGGCTGCAAAGACCTCCTCCTTAGTGGATCGTTGCCAATTAAAGGACGAATTCACGATGAAAAAGCAACCCATTTCAAATTAACCTAGGGATGGTGGTGTACACGAAAGAAGGAAGAACCATGAGAAACGGCCCAGAACCCGAGAAATGGGACCCCTTCCTTGCCCGTTGATTCGAGCATTGGTGCGACTCTCATCGCCCTTTAAAGGAGGAATTCACGATTAGAATGAAGGTCGAAGAAAGGGAAACTGACCTAGTTGAGGGACCCACGGACCTCCTGAGGGTGCGAACTGACGCGCAATTCGCATGGAAAAATTTGACCTCGGCGACCTATCATGCCTCAAAGCTGGCGGGTCCGGCGATCTCCGCCCACCGATCATCTGATCACTCGCCGTAGTTCAATACGTGGCGAGTGATTAGATAGCTGAGAGAGCGTAGTGTTGAAGAGGGCACAGCGATGAGAGTCGCATCAATGCTCGAATCAACGGGCAAGGAAGGGGTACCATTTCTCGGGTTCTGGGCCGTTTCTCATGGTTCTTCCTTCTTTCGTGTACCACTCACCATCCCTAGGTTAATTTGAAATGGGTTGCTTTTTCATCGTGAATTCGTCCTTTAAGTCGTGACCGTCAAGTTTTCTTAGGACTATCCCTCTTATCATTGCTGATCGATCAAGAACCCCATCTATTTTCATCTTCAAAATTTACATCTTTACAATTCAAACCTTCCTCTCAATCTGCTATCCCGCTACTTTTTGCTTTGACACCAATCGCATGCACTTCTTCGAAGCACGGCAATCTGCACGTCTGTCGCATGCATATATCATATAGCTTGCACAT